ATATAATTCTTAAAAATTCGAGACTTTTACAAATAGCCTATCAGAAACCTTTCAAAATGCTATGAGATAGGCAGAGAGAGTGCGGATTTAGATGATATGCCCAAATAAATTACATTAGTAGACTATAAGCAATCAGAACACTGCCTAAGAAGCACATCACCTTGCTTACCCCTCCTATATGTGGATTCTTTATTTTATTTTTATTTATTTTTTACAATTGCTCCTCAAAACATGCAATAAATCAATCAATCAATTATAATTTACCATTTAAAAAAATCAGTCAACTATGAGGACTTCCTGGGCAATGAGAAAGCTTTGGTGGCATCAATAGCACTGAATAGCTCGAACCATTGTTTGTGCACACAATAGTCTCTGGCTGCATTTACACAGGCAGCCTAATTCTGATCTTTTTCCACTAATTGGTCTTTTGACCAATCAGATCAGCTCTTTTGCCAATATTTGGGCAAAAGATCAGAATTGGGCTGCCTGCCTATGTAGGCTGCAACATTCACTTATAGGCATGTGTAGAATAACAAAACACCTGAAGCTTGTTTGTTTGACATACTAATATATTTTTTAATGGAGACTAAAGTGGAAAAATCTGTCAACTCAATGATAACAATCCCAATCAATGGAAGTTCAAACCCACTGTGCACACACTGATTTAATCAATGATGTTTCCACGTAATTTCAATGAAATAAATGTAAATACAATTAATTTCAATGAAATTACGTTGAACCAACGTGACATAGACGTTGAATTAACATCTGTGCCCAGTGAGAAGGCTCAATCGATGATCAGGCTCTGATTTAATATTTCACCTTGCATCAAAGACAAAGTAGTAGACTACAGAACAACGGAAATATGCATCTTCCAAATAGTTTAAATAGCACCAAAAAGTGCCTTGCCAAGTGTTTCAAAAGTGCCAGGTGCGTGCACTTAGACGCTTAGCATTAATTAAGATGGCTGAATATGCACTTATTGCATATGGATCATTTATCATTATGCTGGCCTGGACAAAGGAAGCTGACAAAACAACATATGGCCACTGGAAAATGAAACATAGTCCTATAATAATAACTTCCATGATGATAACTTTAAATTCTATAAAGCCTGGGTGCCGTGCCAGTCTTTTTCTGTTCTCTTGACAACTACTTATGGAATTGTCATGTCAAACATTTGGCATGACAATGAGTGACAACGAGTTAACATGATAGAACAGACTGGCACTCAAATTATACTCTACTGAGGACACATATTTTGTGAACATGGTGGTCCATGGTGGTCCTCTGTAGCTCAGCTGGTAGAGCACGGCGCTTGTAACACCAAGGTAGTGGGTTCAAACCCCGCGACCACCCATACACTAAAAACATTTATGCACGCATGACTGTAAGTCGCTTTGGATAAAAGCGTCTGCTAAATGTCATATTATTATTATTATGTATTTTCAGGTAGTGTCTAAGGGTAATTATTTAGAGATTGAGGTTGCCCCCTGGTCAGCACCAGCTGTCTAGCAGAGTTTGATATCCTGCTTCACAAAGAGTCATACTGATTAGGACTTCAATCTCAGACAAGATATAGATTGCTGACATACTAGCAGGGGCGGACTGGGACAAGAATTCGGCTCTGGCATTTTATCCACACCAGCCCACATCACAGCGCACCACCAACTAAAACAAATACAATATGTAAAAACACCACTGGAGATACAACTCTGCTCTAGCCATTTTGTTTGCCTCCCTGTTGTGCTGTCTTCTGTCTCAGCATCTTCCCTGCTGTCACTCTGTACTTCTTCTTGTTCTCTGTCTGCCTGTCTGCTTAAGCCTTATATGTTATAAAAGCTAACATTTTACATTTACATTTTACATTTTAGTCATTTAGTAGACGCTCTTATCCAGAGCGACTTACAGTTAGTGAGTGCATACATTTATTTATGTATTTTTTTTAAATTCATACTGGCCCCCGTGGGAACGACTTAGGCTAAATTGCAAATTAGTGCCTGTTGTATGTGTTCCCCTGAATCAACACCTCACCTATGCATTATTAATATTACAGGGCTCCAGGCTAAAAAAAATCCCTGGTGTCACTGATGCCACTAACTTTTACAGTTGGTATTCAAGAAATAAGTTCCTGTTCAAGCAGGAATGCATTATTTAATGCATGATTTAAGTTATTTTGCCCAAGGATCAACCAAAAGCTAATTATACTGTAGATTAGTATAACAGAGAAATTGCTCAAAAATCTTAACAGACCACGGGCCGCCGGCAGTCTCACCTATTTCATTGTTTTATATTTATATATAAAAAATATTTGTGTGTGTTAAATTTGACCATCCAACCCAACAAAAACTTGTCCAGCCCATCTGGCATTTGCCAGAATTGCCAGATGGCCTATCCGCCCTTGCTGGCATTTTAAACACAGACAGTGGCTCCTTTGTGTGGAGACATTTTTCTATAGCTCAATGCAGCCTGATCTCATAGACTAGACGTAACATAGGAAATGAAAATATGAGACACTCAAATAACTAAGATATGTTACATTTGATTTGGTTACATAAGATAGATGGTTACTTAAAGGGGAATTTCACCCTGGGGGAATCTGGACTTCATGTCTGAGGCATTTCTAGGACAGTGAGATGTGTTTCACAGATAATTGTCCAGGAGGAAGGCAGGTCTTCGCGCGCTGAACGATACACCCTATGACGGCTTCCGGTTGCGAGTTCGAATCTCATCACGGACAACAAAGGTTGTGAGTTCGAATCTCATCACGGACAACTTTGGTATTTTAGCTAATTAGCAACTTTTCAACTGCTTACTACTTTTTAGCTACTTTGCAACTTCTTAGCATGTTAGCTAACCCTTCCCCTAACCCTAATGTTTAACCTTTTTAGCTAACCATAACCCTAACCTTAACCCTTTAACCTAACTCCTAAACTTAACCTTAACCCAGCTAACATTAGCCAGCTAGCTAACCTGGATTTATGTAAAGAACAATGCAAAATGCTCTGAGACCAGGGTTGCTCAGTGCTATCTTCTAATCTTACTATAGCACAAGAGAGTTCAGCAATTTGTGACAGCCTTATGAAATGTATTGGAAATTCACAAGAAATGAGAACTGAAGAAATGTTGCGACTGTGAGCAATGAACAGAACACAACTAGATGTTTCAGTGGTCTTTGGTTGAAGTGGTGCCCTGAAGTCACTGAAGGAACAAGGTTGAATTTCTCTAGTGAGTAGAGATTACATTGAATGATCTTTAGTGTCTGTGGGTCTTGGGTTAATCAATCCTCTTTACTGTACATCAACTGTCTGTGAATGTTTAGCTGTTTTAACTCCAGTTCTTTAAAATATACTGTACCGTATATGTAAGGGTACATTGTTGATACACCAATAGTGTGTATTGCTCTATAGACTGCTTCATGATCATGACAGTCATCCTCATATTGAGTCATACTGAGTCATACTCACACCTAGAGGTAGGCTAGGTCTCCCATACGTATGGTCATGTAATCATCCATCTAAGGCACAGCCAACTTTAGATCCCCAGTTAGTGTTTCTTATCTCATATCAAACTCTGGGCATCAAAACGAAAGTCCAACAGCTCAAAGACAAATGACAATACTCATTCCAAAATAGTGAACCTGGCATAATAACCCTTCTCTTTGCTTGTCTTTGATCCCGCTGGACCATTTGACCGGCATTGCATTGCGATGTCTCTATCACTAGCGCTTTTCCTGCTACACCAACATTTATCTCATCCAATGACATGCGAAATCTCCAACACGTACACCCAGAGTGATATTGAGTGGAATTATCAGTCCGCTGCCCCTCAGAACTGTAATGCACTGCCCTCTGTGCAGTTCAATCCCTGGCTTGTCATCTAGCTGCTGAGTAACTGTAACGAGCTGTGTGTTACAGAGACCAGCACATGTTGCTGCCTGATTTATGACCCAGGTGAAAATGTGCTTTTGTTTTATATATCTATTTATTTTCTTAACCTCTACGCTTTGATGGTTTCTCTCATAACTTATGTATTGACTACCAATGATTCTGTGTCAGTGGAGCTGGTGTTTGAAATTAATGGTTATATGCATCAGGACGCGAATCGACAGACATATTTCAGTAATGTTATTTGGATGAAAAGTAAATAGAAAATGCTGTGTTTCTTGAAGCGGAACCTCTGTTTACTCTGGCAGCATTGTAATAATGTTTGAAGTGAGGAAATCTTTACAGAGAACCTCTCTCTTGAGGAAGAAGATATTTGGCAGTCTAATGCATATTTACAGCACAGCCATCATCTTCTTCTTCTTATTATTATTATTTTTTTTTGTATTTTTTTGCTGTCTTGTGGTTTTATTTAGGATTATTATAAAAATGTTGAATATTCTTTTATGTAATGGATGCCTGGCATATGGTTGTACTATGATGAATGCTTACTCAGTCTCAAGCTTATTCAGTCTTATTTGCAACAGTGACTACATTTAGCTTCTGCCATTCTGTAAAACAGGGATGGAGCCTTTTTTTACTTTTTTATTAACCACTCTCTTTCTACTGTGTTTTTAGTGGGACTTCTGTTCAATGAAAACATCCCTCCAGCAAGTTTCTATCATGCCATCTCAGTCCCATCGTGAAAGAGACACCATAAACAAATTGGATCTTGACTTTATGACCCAGAAAGCCCTGCAGCCAAACTCCAAAGACAGATGGTGCAACAAGCATTGGCAGTGCTGAAGATTCACTATCCTGACCTGTCAGTGTTTTTAATGTTACTGCCAAAGACATTTGTGCAGGCATTGGCAAGGGCTCATGCCTCCTAGCATCAAAGATCTGTGATTGACGAGGTACCAACTTCTCCAGTCTTGAGTCACATGAAGGGGAGATACAAATGGTGGACTCCCAACTCCTGTGCTGAAGTTTACATGGCTGAATTCTGATTTAACAAAACATGACAGTCAATCCCAAAGACATTCAACTAGTGAATGAACTGTAAACAAACCCAAAATGGTTCCCTCAGATGAAAACATCACGATCCCTGTGTCAGAAAGCTGTCCCAACGGCAGCTCCTCCTCCTCCTCCGCTGAGGTGGATATCACTAAGGCGGTGACCCTGGGCCTGGTGCTGGGGGTGTTTGTCATCTTCGGGGTTCTCGGTAACATCCTGGTCATCCTGTCTGTGGTGTGCCACCACCACCTACGCTCCGTCACACACTACTTCATCGCCAACCTTGCGGCGGCAGACCTGCTCCTGAGCTCCACCGTGCTGCCGTTCTCTGCCACCTCGGAGGTCCTGGGCCGCTGGGTGTTTGGCCGGCCTTTCTGCAGTGCTTGGGCCGCCCTGGATGTTCTCTGCTGCACTGCCTCTATCCTCAGCCTGTGTGTCATCTCTGTTGACCGCTACCTAGCCGTCAGCTACCCACTGCACTACCCTGCCATGGCCACTGGGCGGCACGGCCTGGTCGCAGTGGCAGCTCTCTGGGGCCTCTCGGCAGCCATATCCGTAGGTCCACTCTTCGGCTGGAAGGAGCCCGACCCAGAGGACGAGACTGAGTGCCGGATCACAGAGGAACCGGGTTATGCTATTTTCTCTGCCCTGGGGTCGTTCTATGTGCCACTGGCTGTCATCCTGGCCATGTACTGCAGGGTGTATGTGGTGGCCAAGCGGAAGACTCGGGACCTGAGGGAGGGCAGGAAGAGGGAGGGGGGGATGGACACGGAGGGAGAGGGAGTGACACTGAGGATCCATCGGGGAAATGCCCCTGCTAAGCCAGAGGGGCAGGAGGAGGAGGGAGAGAAGGGCATCATGAGGCGGAGACGCACTACGTTCGCCCTCATGCGCTTGCTGAAGTTCTCCCGGGAGAAGAAGGCAGCCAAGACTCTTGGCATTGTGGTTGGCTGCTTCATTCTCTGCTGGCTGCCCTTCTTCCTGGTTATGCCCATCGGTGGGTATCCCACAATGCCTTTCCTTGCTCTCCCTATATGCTACTGCATGCCTTTGTTTTGAATTGCATGGAAATGAAAAAGAGAATGCGATATGAAAATGAAAGCAGACTCATAGACGTTTAATATGACAAAACTTAAGTCTAAACAACTGTTAAATAAAAATATCATAGGGAGTAACATAGGGCTGGGAATTGCCAAGGACCTCACGATACGATACTTTCACGATACTAAGGTGCCGATACGATGTATTGCGATTCGATACTACGATTTTAAACAATTCGATGGTCCGAACATATTGCTCACCATGGCTGCTGCAGAGGGACAAGAGAGAGTCATGAGAAAACAACAAGTTTTGATCAGTCATGGACATGTTGGCTTCCCATTTAAAAATAATATGGATAAGAAGCTAGAGAAGAAGAAATACCAGAGATTTGAAACTGATATGTAATGGAAAATCAAGTCTGAAATTTCAAAGTGAAAATTACAAACTTCAGAAGCCTTTTTAAACTTCAAATACACTACAAGTTTTAAGTGTCCTGCATTGCAGGACAGTTCTCCTGCAACAGGGAGATCAAATTATGATCCTGCATCTGTACAGCCGACTAGTGATAGCTAGCGTTAACTACCTACATCTTATTTTTTTTGTAGATACTTGGAGTCATAGAATCAATATAATATCGTAAAAAATAATCTTGTGATACTCTACTGTATAGATTTTTCCCCCCATCACTAGAATAACATCACTGAATTAATTTGCATTTTTCTCAAGAAAATAATCTCTTAAACTGATTTCCCATAGCAGCATATAAAGCCCCCCTTACTGGATAGAGAGTGATTGCCAATGCCTGACTCACAATGTGTCATTTTCTTGTCAGGGAAGCTTCCCTTCCAAATCTCTGAAAAATCAACCCCACCACTCTCAATGGAAAAGCACAAAATGGAATGGATATGAATGTTTTGGAGACTGAAAGAGTGGGAATAAGCCACAGGACCTATTTTCTGCATATTTCCTGTTACAGTGCACCAAAAACAATGTTAGGAGCCGTAAACAAATGCAACCCTCTATTCTAGAAATTCAGCTACAAAATCACTGCTGTTAGCATGGCTATGGGATGAGTCACTTATAACAATAGTTCAGTGATTTGAAAGATAAGAGGAGCTATACACTGAGTGAACAAAACATTAAGAACTCTTTCCATGATGTAGACTGACCAGGTGAATCCAGGTGAAAGCTATGATCCCTTATTGATGTCACTTGTTAAATCCACTTCAATCAGTGTAGATGGGCAGGAGGATTTTGAAGCCTTCAGACAATTGAGACATGGATTGTGTTTGTGTGCCATTCAGAGGGTGAATGGGCAAGACAAAATATTTAAGTGCCTTTGAACGGGGTATGGTAGTAGGTGCCAGATGCACGGTTTGTGTCAAGAACTGCAATGATGCTGGGTTTTTCACGCTCAACAGTTTCCACAGAAAGGTCCACCACCCAAAGGACATCCAGCCAACTTGACACAACTGTGGGAAGCATTGGAGTCAACATGGGCCAGCATCCCTGTGGAACGCTTTCAACACCTTGTAGAGTCCATGCCCTGACGAATTGAGGCTGTTCTGAGGGCAACAAAAGAAAGTGTTTTGTACACATGATGATAGATGTACAGTCAAACCCAACGTTGCCTCAAAGCTGTCATCATTTACATTTTAGTCATTTAGCAGACGCTCTTACCCAGAGCGACTTACAGTTAGTGAATACATATTTTTTTTATACTGGCCCCCCATGGGAATCGAACCCACAACCCTGGCGTTGCAAACGCCATGCTCTATCAACTGAGCTACATCCCTGCCGGCCATTCCCTCCCCTACCCTGGGCCAATTGTGCGCCGCCCATGAATCTCCCGGTCGCGACAGAGCCTGGATTCGAACCAGGATCTAGTGGCACAGTTAGCACTGCGATGCAGTGCCTTAGACCACTGCGCCACTCAGGAGTTACATCAACATCGTTAATACCACCACAAGCCTGTGAGAATGTGATTAATGAAATACCGTATAATGGCTACACAGACTTTAATATCCTTGATTAAGGATCCGACAGATCTGTAATTCAAGATGATATGGAGATTGGGGTTGAACTCATTTACTGTAAATTAACAGATTATCAAAAGGCCTGCTGATGGCCTGGTTCTGAATATAGCTCCTTTGGTCTTGGGAAGTGTAGCTGAATCCATTCAGATACTGTGCACCTCTAATCCTACTTTAGAATTCAATTTCTTGATGGAAATTCTATTATTATTGATTTATTTGTGTTTTATTGTATACATAACAACAGAGTCTACGACCCTGGTCACCCCTCTTGAACGCTCCATATACTTGTGTGTTTTCTTTAGTGGTACATCAGGAATTCAATTACTGCCATGGAGAAGCAGAGCAAATGAAATACCAGTGCTGAACCGAATAGGGTTATACTTCAGGGAAGAAATGAAATGAACAAAAACACTATTCATTATTTTATTCCAAAGCCATTGTAAACAACAACCATAAAAGGCATGATGTTGTGCGCAGTAAGCCAGCGCCCAACAATCACCCTTCATCTTTCCAAGGCAGCAAAGTATTACATGAGTCATGCATTTCAATATAAACAGACCTTCAGACCTGGGAGCACATTATTCAATGTCAAAGCTAATGCCCCTGAGACTCTCAGACTATAGGAATGAAAGAGTTGAATGTTTTAGACCTTTAGTGACAAAGCTCTTCAGATAGAGAGATGAAAGCTGTCATCAAGGCAAAGGGTGGCTATTTGAAGAATCTCAAATATCAAATATATTTTGATTTGTTTAACACTTCTTTGGTTACTACATGATTCCATATGTGTGATTTCATAGATTTGATGTCTTCACTATTATTCTACAATGTAAAAAATTGTCAAAATAAAGAAAAACCCTGAGTTTGAGTAGGTGAGTAGGTGAGTCCAAACTTTTGACTGGTAGTGTATGTTGGCCTTACATACGTCTTATCAGATAACCTAGAATGTGTAAGTACACAGTGAACACCAGTATGTCTGGAATTGAAACTATGGTGAAATGGTGGGGGTTAATGTGTGAGCTACCTATGCTCATCCTATTGCTGTTATTCAATACAGATAAGGGTCAATAGGACATGCAAATGATTCATGATTCATATAGACATTGTAAACTACTGTACTTGCTTTAGTGACAGATCTGTCTTTGTGTTTGTGTGTGTGTTCTTTCCACAGGCTCCATATTCCCATCATACAGGCCATCTGACACCATCTTTAAGATCACCTTCTGGCTGGGCTACCTCAACAGCTGTATCAACCCCATCATCTATCCCTGCTTCAGCCAGGAGTTCAAAAGGGCCTTCCTCAATGTTCTGCATGGACATTGCCTCAGACAAGGGGGAAGGAGCTCCAAGTCTCTGGGGTTTGCTCCTTCCTATTGTCCCAGTCCTGGTCCATCGTCTCTTATTAGATCCCAGGCTCCCCACTCCTCCTCCAGCTCCTCCACACCCTCCACCCAGCCACGCCAAGTCCCCTCCCCAGCCTCTCATGCCTCCTCCTCTGGCTGCTGGAGGACCTTCTCTTGCTCCTCTTCCTCGGTGGGGGTGCCAGGCCATACCCAAAGTGCCCGGGTCCACAGTAAAAGCCTGCTGAAGGCGTGGTGTTTTGCAGCAGGGGAGAACCCATCCCAACAGGGTGCTGCTTGCCTGAGCCCCTCAGCCCCTGGTGCTACATGTCAAACGAAAGTCCATTGCCTCTCCCTGGGAGCAAGAGGGGAGGCTGTCTGACTGGGAACACTACATTTACATTTTAGTCATTTAGCAGACGCTCTTATCCAGAGCGACTTACAGTTAGTGAGTGCATACATTTTCATACTTTTTCATACTGGCCCCCCGTGGGAATCGAACCTACAACCCTGGCGTTGCAAGCGCCATGCTCTACCAACTGAGCTACACGGGGCCCTAAACACTAAAGGCTTCTGGGTAATTAAAATTCCCCCAAGTTCTGGGAAAAGATGTGCCACTTATTGGCATGAAGTTAAGACATCTCTCTAGACCTGCTGGAGTCACTCAGTCCAGCTATTGACATAAGGCTGATGTGTCTTCATGTTTTGGGAAATGGGAGAGAGTACACCTATTGAAGAAGATACTGTAACACGCCTGGAGGTAGAGATGTACTGTACTGTATGTGCTGCACTGTAGATTGAAGTACAGTATGAATCAAAAGGATACACAGTGTCAGTACAGAAACTGAATGAAGAGTACTGAGTCAGTAAAGAGACCAGGGTTGGGGAGCAGCTGGTTACATGTAATCAGTTACATGCAATCTGATTACAAAAAACTGTAACTTTAATCAATTACGTTACCAGCTAAAATATTGTAATCAGATTACAGATACTTTAGAAAAACTAGATTACTTCTTGGATTACTTTTAAATTCAGAAAGGCTGTTTGCAAAAAAATACATTATGACATCTTTCTGTTTTCTCAAATCAAAAATCAAATCAAATGTTATTTGTCACATGCGCCGAATACAACCTTACAGTGAAATTCTTACTCCCAAGCCCTTAACCAACAATGCAGTTTTAAGAAAAATAAGAGTTAAGAAAATATTTACTAAATAAACTAAAGTAAAAAAATTAAAGAGTAACAATAAAATAACAATAACGAGGCTATATACAGGGGCTACCGGTACCGAGTCAATGTGTGGGGGTACAGGTTAGTCGAGGTAATTGAGGTAATATGTACATAGGGGTAAAGTGACTATGCATAGATTATAAACAGCGAGTAGCAGCAGCTTTTTTTTAAAAGGGGGGGGGGGGGGGGGGGGGGGGGGGGGGTCAATGCAAATAGTCCAGGTAGCCATTTGATTAGCTGTTCAGCAGTCTTATGGCTTGGGAGTAGAAGCTGTTAAGAAGCCTTTTGGACCTAGACTTGGCACTCCGGTACCGCTTGCCGTGCGGTAGCAGAGAGAACAGTCTATGACTAGGGTGGCTGGAGTCTTTGGCAATTTTTAGGGCCTTCCTCTGACATTCAATTCAGCATTGACAAAAGGTGCAAGTTTAAGTTTGTTCCAAGTGAGCGAGTCTGACCACAAGTCAGAGACCACTATGATGACACACCAAATGTGTTTGATGGATCCTCTTTGTCTTCTTCTAATGACTCTTAAGGGGAAAGTAATCAGATTACGTTACTGATTACAATTTTGGACAGGTAACTAGTAACTGTAATGGATTACATTTAGAAAGTAACCTACCTAACCCAGACAGAGACTGAATGAAAACGTGCTTCAGGTCACTGAAGATGATTATTTGAGGAAGATCTCCATACATAGGTTTAACATACAGTTCATACTGCAACTTTTTTATTTGGACAATATTTATGACAAGCTTACAATCTGACTTGTGCAGTTCTCACGGTACATTGTACTGAAAAATGTAACGCTTGCTCGGCTCTTACTATGTAAAGTAGCTACTGTGCTGCTGGTGTGTATGCTTGTGTCTTGTGACAGTGGTCTCTTTCTTTACCTACTCAAATAGCAGAAGAACATGTCCATCAAACACATGCACAGCTAGATACTCCGACACACTAGGCCCAGAGAATGAGCCAAATACCTGCTATGCATTGTAGGATGTTTCAGTTCAATGATCAGTGAAGATAAAGTTTGTAAGCGTCTGTGTAACCCATTGAAATCTTAAATGCAATGAAATTGTGTAAAATACAGAAAATATTTCAATGCTAAATATTCTGCACCAATCCTCTATGAAAAATACACATGTCAGATGTTGTTTTGCCTGTGTGATGAATAATTATAATAATGTATGAATGGCCTTTTTCAGCTCTTAGTCAGCCCTCAATATATACTGAGTATTCCAAACATTAGGAACACCTTCCTAATATTGAGTTGCATCCCCCCCTCCTCTTTTGTCCTCAGAACAGCCTCAATTCGTCGGGGCATGGACTCTACAAGGTGTCGAAAGCATTCCTCAGGGATGCTGGCCCATGTTGACTCCAATGCTTCCCACAGTTGTGTCAAGTTGGCTGGATGTCCTTTGGGTGGTGGACCATTCTTGATACACACGGGAAACTGTTGAGCATGAAAAACCCAGCAGCATTGCAGTTCTTGACACAAACTAGTGTGCCTGGCACCTACTACCATACCCCGTTCAAAGGCACTTAAATATTTTATCTTGCCAATTCACCCTCTGAATGGCACACATACACAATCCATGTCTCAATTGTCTCAAGGCTTGAAAATATTTGTTTAACCTGTCTCCTCCCCTTCATCTACACTGATGGAAGTGGGTTTAACAAGTGACATCAATAAGGGATCATAGCTTTCACCTGGATTCACCTTGTCAGTCTATGTCATGGAAAGAGCAGGTGTTCTTAATGTTTTGTACGCTCAGTTTATTTAATATGTTATGACTTCAAATATCCATATAGCCACTTGTTAGACACCAAAATACAGGGAGGTTCCAACTCATTGTCCATTAATCCATTCGGTCCAATAATAAACAACTTGAGATATTTCTTGATTGCAATGGTCATAGCATTCGTTAATACTCACACAGTCCGGTTGTTTGTCACACAATTCCAGGGTTGGTTACTGAAGGAGAGATTTTAATTCAGATAACAGATTCTAAAGTGATATGGAAAAGGTAAACTCATGAAATGATACCAAACAAAACAACACAATAGGACGACAACACCTTGACAGGTATTTTACTCCTCTAAACAGACTAGGGGACATACTGCCATCTTGTGTCTTGAGAGTGTACTTGCGCTCATAGGACTGAGCAGACCTTTTTTCCTGTGGGGATTTCATGAGTACAGTACATGAGCTGAAAAAGTAGAGAGGCACCATTGATGTCTGTATCTTTGCAAGAGGCCCATTGAAGAGTATTGACCATTCAGTAATGTTTCTGTATGTACTGTAATTTACAGTGGAATTGTTTGACCGATTTTGATGTTTAGCCTTACTATTCATATTCATATATAATATTCATATTTATGGTCTTTCCTACTCAAAGGTTTTAATATTCTTGTTAATATTGGGGGCGCAGTAACCTTAATACACAGGGCACTATCAGGCTAGACTTAAACACTACACACAAATCAAATGTTTCTGTGAAAAATGATCAGTGGCCATGTGATGTGCTATTACCAAGGGTGAGCAGTGGAGGGAGGGAACCCATTCTACCTCCTAAGGTCAGCACACAACATTCACAATCATAAAAAAAGCCAGAGGCTGAGTGTTATGATGAGTTTCTGGTATCGAGAGGTTCAGGATGCAAGAGAGTATGGGATACAGAGGGAGATTTGATTCGGTCATTATTTAATTCAGTACTGGATTCAATGACAGGCGGTACGGACGTAGCCTCCTGCCATCTGAACGACTTCCATACAAAATCTCTCAGTTTATATAATGCTCTCCCGATCTACTTCTGTCCAACATCTGCCAACCATCATTGACTGTCACTTATCTACCACAATAGCATCCCCATACTTGGTATTGTGTCACCCTAGCCAGGCCATTCCATCACATACACCTTCTAAGATTAGCTCAAGTGGCCCCCAATCGATCTTGGCACGCAGACCTTCTGTCCCTCACCAGTGACCTCTATAACACATGGCGTGTCCTTGTCCTCTCTCCCTCACATACATCTTATGAGTTTTACATACATGAATGAATCTTGTATCACAAGTCATTATAACACTGAGTTTTGTTTTTTAAATCTTTATTTTTGTTGGTTATTGTTTTTTACATCACCATCCATGGGATTTGACACTTTCCATAGAGAGCAAGCATCCTCAAAACCCCACAGCCATCAAGACAAACAATCACATAGTTTCACTTTCACAATCGGAGGGGGTTAGGTAGAGGTGGGAGGACAGGGGTGTGGGGTGGGATTTTAACAGCATTATCAACCTCAAACCTAAAGCTCTCAATCTGCCTTTCGCTTACATCACATATTAGCGTGGCATAGAAAAACATTCAAACTGACAGAGCAAGAAGGAATGTGTGTGTCTGTGTGTGTGCTTGCATGTGTGTGTCTATAGCCCCGTTTATACCTGGAGCTAACATGGGTCCTTTGTCCTGATCTTGTCTACATTCTGATTGTGCCCATATTTCCAGAAATGTGTCTACACATGGTATTAAAATTAGTCTATTATCCGTCCACTGTGTCTGCATTGTGACAAGATTTCCTGGTCCCTTACTTTATGCAAATTATTCCACAGCTATTCTTTCAAAATAATATGTATTTATTTATTGTACAACACATATTGATGTAGTCAGTCAATGCTGCCAACTGTCAATTATTTAAATGGTTTCTCCGACTAGATCGGTCTACACTTGTAAGATATCCAGACACAATGCGTGTCGAACTACCTCCGGAGGTGGGCAGGATGATCTGATCACAATGTGTCTTTTGATTGTCTACACCTGTCAAAAAATATAGGCACAATCTGAATGTGGACAAGATCAGGACAAAGGACGTAAGTTAGAACCAGGTATAAACGGGGCTTGTGTGTCTACAGTATATGGAGGGGACACGATGGCAGCACCAGCGTTGACAGCTAGTTTATAATATCTGAGTCAATGCTTTAGGCATGGGTTCTCCACCACAGCGACATACAGCGTTGGGTGATTGGTAGATATCTGTGGCCTTGTAGAGGAGCTCTGTGTAATTGCTGTGATGTGAAGCTTTTCAAGGGCCCACGAATCCTGGGTCAGCAGAGGTATGTGGATCCCACCCAACTAACCAAAAGCTTATATACAAACGGTGACACACCAAAACAGTGTGATTCTGCAGCAACAGTTCATTTTAGAAAAGCGGGGTAGGGAAGAAAATGTGTGTGTGGAGGGAGTTCTATATTGTGCATGGCTTCCATACAGCTAGTCTGCCACGGACACCATGTTATTCTAATAGCACAAGGTCCGGAGGGGTTGCTATGGGCAAATTCCGATCTGACAAGCGTTGCCATGACAAACAAAAAGCAGGGCCTAGGGTGACTCAAGGGCCTCGTAGTCAAGGCAACAGAGGGCAACAATGGAAGAGCCAGAGAGAGAGCAAGAGAGAGGAAGAGCGGGGTAGAAACAAGCAAACATACTTTTAGTCTCAGGAGGACTCATGTGCTCCTGGCTGCCAAATCTTATTTGTGCTTTGGCAGACCCCTTGCTCCACCCTCCAGTCTATGGGAATAGAGGTATGAATCATCTTAACCCTGCGTCACCCTCCGTTTGAGAGATATGCATTCCAACACCAAGCAAGCAAATGGGAGACTCATGCTGAAAAGATACCAATACACTGGGCCAGGGTTTTCAATGGGATCGAGAAGAACAACTGGAGAATCAAAAATCTTAAATATTGTTAGTCATCATAGTAAAATAATGACAAAAAGAATCACGATAATAATCAAAATCAGAATAATGATGACCACAATATCTCAATGAGAATGATAAAAAAGTGAAGAGGCAAAGAGAGACTGAAGAGATTTTTTGCTCAGCCATGTAGCCTACTCTTCACATGTGAGGACGGAGACTTGACCTAGCCCTAATCTCACGTGCCAGACAGTACAGTTTTTTCGTGGTATATGCATATGCTGAGATATAGTCATCTGGCTGCGTTAGATAATCCCAACCCTGACTGGAGTGGCCTGAACCCTTTCACCTGAGTGATTGAACACTAACAAGCAGACCTCCCCCCTCCCATCCCTGTCTCATCTCATTCCCTGTAGGCGGTCACACTGAAGTGTCAAACTTTAATTTCCCTGCTATGGATTCCTTAAACACAGATACCATTACTACCCTGAAAGAGACTCTACCTTCTAAGGGCTTCCTACGAGACCTTAACACGGCCAGGAAAACCAAGGGTCCAAGCCACAGCACAGTGCTGGAAGGACATACAGACACCACTTGTTCTGTGAGTGCATGCGTGCGAGTGTGTGTGTCTGTAACAGTGTGAGTGAGTGTGTTGCTCTGTGTTGAGTCATGGAGAGGAAAAGGCGAACACTGCAGAACAGCGACTTTTAGGCCAAGATCTCGCCGACATGCGAGTGAAGGTAGAAAAACAGCTGGCGGACTGCTTTGCCTTAATGAAAACCAGACCATGCAAAACGAAGGACCATTACCATCACTCCAGGTCTGAGACCAAAGGAGTGGTGCACTGGGACCTGTGTGTGTGTGTGTCCCATCCCTTACACATTAACACTGCACACTAGTTAGAAATACATTACTCCATGTCTACTTTCAAGCTCAAATTAATCGTGTTCAGCCTTAGGCCACTACTTACAGAATGACACTAAATAGCAATAACAACAGTTAAAAACTACAACATTAGAACATTTTCATATTAAGTAAGCATTGTTGTTTTTAAAGGAGCACTACGAGTGGAATACGAAATAACAAAATCTGGCACCTTTATATCGGTTAACACCGGCTATTTTACATTTTTATCTTACATACATCCTTCTCTTACCATAATAAGAATAATACAAAATCGAACTATCAGTACAACTTCTGTGGGTTCAGGCACATAAAGAGTTGAAAAGGAAAAGGGGGAGTGGATGAATAGAGAAGTGGAGGCAGGGAGCAGAGAGACATTCAGTCTTCTAAATGCACTGGTTGGTACTGGAACATGCTAGAACAGGAGGGATGCTGCCTGCAACACTGTCAATTAAATGGTGTATGGATCTCAAAGATCCCATTACAGTGATAAATCACAATGCTCTTTAGGCGAGGTATATGGGCACATACTGTACTATAGCTTAGCTGAGTATGAGTGTGGCACCATCTTGCTAAGAGGGTGAGTTGAATGAGGCTATGAGAAATTGGGCATTCCCTAGTATTCTTACCAGAATCTTCCTTCCTTCCCTGCCACCCGGTTACACTCCTCCCAACATCCTACATTTGAGTCACATCTCCTCTCATGGGCTGTTAAGTTCCATGATGGCCTCTCCTTGGGAGACGTAATACAGTGCTCTATTCACTGCCCGCCAAATCTCCTTCTCCTACTCTACTGGACTTTCCTGGCTCACAAGCAGCTTCCAAATATGGACCATGTTTTCTTCATTACATCTAGTCCTTGACACAAAGCTACTGGTGGGATGACATAAGATGAGCACCAGTGAGAAGTTCCTTTAAGGTTTTCAACAGTGGTTCAGCTTACTACTAATCTCACGCATCATCCCGAGGACAAGGAGAGCATACTACCAACTTTAAACAATAACAATGGACTGGCAACAAGTCAATAAATTGTGTTGATCGTAGCCAGTGATGTACTGATCTTAACAGTGTGGGAGATGAAAATCACACTGGAGGGCAAGGCTGTATAAACAGTAGAGAACTAACACAACCCAGAGAAAAGTAAAAATATCAATATTGAGGAAGGCATAAGCGACTTATCTCCTCCATTTTTGTTCACTACATAATGTTAGCGCAACTAATCTGATGTACAACATGTTCCCCATGTGTCGCCATACTTCATTTACCATACATTCAAAATGAAAAAAGAGGGACGGAAACAGAATGGACTTCCTCTATGCAAATGCTACAAGCACTGTCTTGACCTTCTCGCCGTGTTAAAACTGCTCAGTCTAGTCTCACTTGACCCCTCTATTAGAACATGAAAATCAAAAACTAAACTAAATTATACATGGCAGGTAGAAAGTACAGCATAAAACACTAAATAATACAGTCAAAAGTGCTCAAATAAGGACTGTTGTTTTCTTCTCTTTTTTTTCTTCAAAATCTTTTTTATAGGCGTCTCCTTTATAGAGGGGTGTCGGGGGAGAGAGAGTGGGGGATAGATGTAGGGGGGAGAGAGAGTGAGGGAGAGATGTAGGGAGCAGCAGATGGGGGAGAGAGGTTGAGGAGGGGAGACTTGGTTTGGCTTCTGGTGGAATGGCCCCTAGTCCCTGATGCCCCTCCCCTCAAGCCCTCATTTCCCCTGGTGGCCAATGGGAGGGGTTAACCCAGGTTGGTGATGTTGGCCCTGCCACCGGGTGGCGCCACAATGCGCTGGGTGTTACGCCGAGGAAGGTTGTCATCAACTTGAGCACCTACAAGTACAGGAGGAGGAAGTCAATATCACTGTATTATGACACTTTCATTGTTATGAAAATGTATCATCAAAACTATGATAGATATAATGTCAGATATCTCTAGTGAATGGATCCATGGATCCACCCCAGTGCTTCTCACCAGATAGGCTGAACCCTGACTGGTGCAGGTTGCGGACAGGCTGGGCGCCGGCTGCTGCCTGCTTGGCTGGAGAGGTCTTGGCAGAGGAGGCAGGAGTCATAGATTTGGGTGTGACTGACACCTCACAGACAGGCCCGTCATAGAGACCCCGGGGAACACCCCTTAGCTCAGCCAGCTGGAGAACAGGGAGGAGGCAGACTCAAGAGTCAAGATCAAACAACCCAAACCTACTGCAGGGTTGAACCCCAAAATAATCCCATGACTGAAACTTAAGTCAATCGCAGATCGATTGTCTGCAGGGCCAAGTTAACCTCCCCTTTCATGTAAAAAGCTTTTAGGGAAAGAGGATCATTTTGTACATTAAACTGCGAGTTTGACCAGCTCCAGTCCTTTTCAATTTGATATATATTTTTTAAATAAAATATAGATTAAAAAATCAATAATAACAACAACAAAATCCATATGATGGAAATCCGTCGCAGTGACTGAGAACTTTTACCCCTGCTCCCGATAGTGGAATGCAACATCTAACTTGTCAGCAAATACCCTCATCTTATCATGAGTCAACAACTTAACATAACACAGGGTTTTTGAAAAGGAAATCCACTCCCTTGGAAATAAAACACATCAATGCAAAAGACAGCAGACCACAATGATACAGTTCCATAACGGTGCCTTACCCTGCTGCGGGCCTTTATCCTCTTGTAGACATAGTCACAGAAGGGCTTCCGGCCCACGAAGCGGCCACACCCCTCGGTGGTGTGGAGGTTCCCCTCCTCCAGGACGATCTTACCCTGGCTGATCACTACCAGGGGCGCGCCACGCACCTCCACACCCTCAAAGATGTTGTACTCCACATTCTGGAAGAGTGACGGGGGAGAGAGGAGGAGAGGCAGAATGTAGTACAATAGATTATTTTTCGATCAGACCAATATGCCCATATATCAGCCTCTTATGATTTGTGTGAGTTGACTGGTGTTTAGTACTACTGTGGTGGACCGCCATCCTTCTCCATCCTGTGCCAGTAGAGCAGTTGTTTTATAGTGGGCCAACGTTCAAATCATTAAGTCCCCTATGGGTTTTTCAAAGGTTAGATAAATGACAATTGAAAACCCCTCCAGAGATAGCATCATCGATGTGGTGGTGAGATCTGAGTCTCTCCAGACCACAGACCATTGATTTAGCCAGGCAACAAGGAGCAGAGTTACCAGGCACTTACAGGGATGGTGTGTGCAGTAGAGAGCAGTGTGAAGTGTGACCACCTTCCTAAATGCTACTGGCTGATTAGGGCTGAGGTCATGGCAATTTAGTGGGCTCCATAGGGATTAGAAAAAGTATGAGGTCACCCGGAGGCAGGACCTCCCAACACACACACACACAATGTCTTTCTGAATTACCAATTTTCCCCATGTACATTAGTCCATTTCCTGACCAAATGGAAAGAAAGAAACCAAAGAACACGGAGAGCTAGAGCGATTAGATTGCAAAAGCACACACACACACACTGTGATTTGCCTGCTAACAATCAGAAATGACATGTTCCAGTACTCTGGCAGAGTTTGGGGATGACATCACTCCTCTGAATCACCATAAGGCCCACGCCCTAGAGCTGGGGAACCCAACCAATCATATGTGGTCAGGAGTCAGATGACCATAAAAATACAAGTATGGTAATTTCATAGAACCATTGCAATTTAACCTATCAAGTTCACTTGAATGTTCAAAGTATAACAATTTAATTTTGGACAGTTTCCCAAAGATGAATCTGTGGTGTAATACCACGTGTAATACCATATGGCTGGATATACAGTAGATTGTGCCTTTCTGATGGTATAGTATTTGTGCTTAGTGTGAGTATGTGACTGACCGAGTTGTGGCTCTTGGCTGAGATGATCTTGGTGACGTCTGGGTCCCAGAGTACCAGGTCAGCGTCAGAGCCCACAGCGATGCGGCCCTTACGGGGGTACAGGTTGAAGATCTTAGCAGCGTTGGTGCTGGTGACCGCCACAAACTGGTTCTCATCCATTTTACCTGTCACCTGAATGAGCCAGGGGAACACAGAGAATTGGGCAGTTAACTTTGGGAGAAAATCACATTTTTGTGGTTATAGATGAGTGTGTGTATGCAATTGTTGTGTGAATGTGCAAATTCAAACAATGCATACAAATTCTACACATGATGTACACTGTACGTTCTACTGTATATACTATGTACTGTATATGAGTATACTGTATGTAATATATATATATATATATATATATATATATATATATATATATATATATATATAACATGTAGTCTCTCACCACACACTTGTCCCAGATGAGGGACATTCTCTCCTCAGTGCCGTTGGTACCCTCAGGGATGAGGGTGAAGTCATCTTTCCCAACAGCGCGCTGGGCAGTGTTGAAGGTGCAGTGGGCACTGCCAGTCACCTGCAGGTCCCCACTGGAGAGGAGGGCACAGGACAAGAGATGAGACTGTGCCACTTGGGCTCAGAGTGGGATGATTGTCCTACTTTATATTGTTACCATGATAACAGTTTACACCATATGAATATTTGTCCATATGGTCCAATCCAGTGTAATGGTATGGAGTTAGTGCTCTCACCAGGAGAGCAGGGAGTTGAGATAGTCGGGTGTGGTCGGGTCTGGGCTAAGGGGCGGGGACGTGATGAAGGCGGCAGCCTTGGCCCAGTTCTTGCTCCAATAGTGTGAGCCGTCTGTACCCAGGCTGGCAGTGATTGGCTCCCCGTACACCACCGTGCCTGCAAGGCCAATCAGAAACATGATGTGATTACAAATGTAAATGATGTTATTGACATAATATGGTGCCTCTCCCTTCTTTTGGCTCACACATGTGCATCTTCCCTTCATCTTTCTGTATGTTTGTACCCTAGCAACAGCCTATCAACAGTCTCTCACCCTTCTTCCTGGCCTGAGCGATGACATCAGCAGCACTCTTGCTCATCACCTTAGTGACGTAGAGGGGACAGTTGGTCTGATTGGCTACTATCACAGAACGGTTGACAGCCTCTGCCTCCACCTGAAAGACACACCCAGGGTTCAGAGGTCAAGGTGACCATGCAAGGACGCATTTTGAAAACAGAAAGGGAAGATAAAAACAGAAATAGGTAAGAACTCTGAAGTCAAATGCTGATGCATTATACCTCTTCAGGATGGCTCAAGACGTGCCCCTCAGGTCCAGTGATGCCCTGCTCTAGGATTCGACGCTGCTCCTGAATGGACAGAACAGGCATGCTTTAAATACATCCAGTGTTAGATAAGGTCGATAGGGTTTTGATAGTCCAGTAAATGGTGTATTGTTTCCTAGGCTTTGATGGTATACCGTATACTGGGGTATTTGGAAATAGCCATGGGAGGGTTTTTCAATACCGTTGAAAGACAGTCACGTGTTTGTTTGTAAATAACACAATGGGAGAAAGTGGGTGCAGGTGAGTCCAGCTGTGTATTGACAGGGGTCGTGTTTTATATTGAAAGTCAACAGTGTTTTTTTGCTTCAATAGAGTGTTCAGGGACATACAACTATAGTTTTCCTTCACAGAAAATACATTAGTGCAACAAATTCGGCAGAAAATAGCTTCATTTTCATCAGATGACAACAGAAGTTCAACGCTATTTGGCTGGCAGCCACACAAGTAAATGAGCATACAATGAAAAAGCAAGTTCTTTTTTGCCGAAACGATGCATGGCCATCATATTTCTAATGTTATTCATAGAAAGAATGTAGCCAGCTACATTTGCTAATGTTTTGCTTAAAGTGAATTTTACCTGAGAAAAGTAGGCTGGCTACAGCGAGAAAAGTACCTGGAGAAAGGTAGCTACACATCAATCAGCTCTGTCTCGTGATAAAATGCCTGTTTGTGAATTCTCATCTGAGTGGAGAAGTGCAACTGAAGCACATAATTAGTCTGATGCTGAGCAAAAATTACAATAAGAAGCATTTTAGATCTGCGTTTCCAAAACACAGCAAGATATTTCTTATGCGTTTTATCTTTTCTTTCTGCGTGACAAATTCAGAATTCTGTGTTAACGCAACCCCTAAGTTTAACTTGCTAGTTATCTAAGTAAGTGGCTGAATTAATAAGGTGACGGGGCATCATATTGTGTTAGCTTTCTGCCATGTTTGAGAAGTCAAAGCCCTTTGGATTAGTTATCTGTACAGCTGCCAGTGCTATCTTGATTTCCTTGCATTTTTTCTCCTCTCCGTCTGCTCCTCCCCCCTCTTCTCTGAGCAGAGCAGGCTAGCCCGTTGCCCTAGCGACTCCAGTACTGTTCGTCCTTCAGACAAGCATGCATCAAAACTCGTTCACATTTGCTTGTAAATGTCCAAACTCACCAAAATTACATTTGGTTGCTCCTACCTATATATATATATATATATATATATATATATATATATATATATATATATATATATATATATATATATATATATATATATATATATATATATACACAGTGGGGAGAACAAGTATTTGATACACTGCCAATTTTGCAGATTTTCCTACTTACAAAGCATGTAGAGGTCTGTAATTTTTATCATTAGGTACACTTCAACTGTGAGAGACGGAATCTAAAACAAAAATCCAGAAAATCACATTGTATGATTTTTAAGTAATTAATTTGCATTTTATTGCATGACATAAGTATTTGATACATCAGAAAAGCAGAACTTAATATTTGGTACAGAAACCTTTGTTTGCAATTACAGAGATCATTCGTTTCCTGTAGGTCTTGACCAGGTTTGCACACACTGCAGCAGGGATTTTGGCCCACTCCTCCATACAGACCTTCTCCAGATCCTTCAGGTTTCAGGGCTGTCGCTGGGCAATACGGATTTTCAGCTCCCTCCAAAGATTTTCTATTGGGTTCAGGTCTGGAGACTGGCTAGGCCACTCCAGGACCTTGAGATGCTTCTTACGGAGCCACTCCTTAGTTGCCCTGGCTGTGTGTTTCGGGTCGTTGTCATGCTGGAAGACCCAGTCACGTCCCACCTTCAATGCTCTTACTGAGGGAAGGAGGTTGTTGGCCAAGATCTCGCGATACATGGCCCCATCCATCCTCCCCTCAATACGGTGCTGTCGTCCTGTCCCCTTTGCAGAAAAGCATCCCCAAAGAATGATGTTTCCACCTCCATGCTTCACGGTTGGGATGGTCTTCTTGGGGTTGTACTCATCCTTCTTCTTCCTCCAAACACGGCGAGTGGAGTTTAGACCAAAAAGCTCTATTTTTGTCTCATCAGACCACATTACCTTCTCCCATTCCTCTTCTGGATCATCCAGATGGTCATTGGCAAACTTCAGACGGGCCTGGACATGCGCTGGCTTGAGCAGGGGGACCTTGCGTGCACTGCAGGATTTTAATCCATGACGGCGTAGTGTGTTACTAATGGTTTTCTTTGAGACTGTGGTCCCAGCTCTCTTCAGGTCATTGACCAGGTCCTGCCGTGTAATTCTGGGCTGATCCCTCACCTTCCTCATGATCATTGATGCCCCATGAGGTGAGATCTTGCATGGAGCCCCAGACCGAGGGTGATTGACCGTCATCTTGAACTTCTTCCATTTTATAATAATTGCGCCAACGTTGTTGCCTTCTCACAACGCTGGCCTTTGTCCGGCCCCTCCCCCCTTGTGAAAGGGTTCCAAAGTATCCCCGATGTCCCTTCAAGCTCTTGGTCTTTGGCCATGGGAGAGGGTTTGGGGTCTTTTGTTGGGTGGGACAGGTGCTTTTTAAAAAGGGAATGAGTTCAAACAGGTGCAGTTAATACGGTAAAAGGTGGAGAAAAATGAGGGCTTCTTAAATAAAACAAAAGGCTGTGAGAGCCCGGAATTCTTTTGGTGGTATCTAGAACGAATCTAAAACAAATTCAGAAATCAATTGATTTTTAAGTAATTAATTTGCATTTATTGCATGACATAAGTATTTGATCACCTACCAACCAGTAAGAATTCCGGCTCTCACAGACCTGTTAGTTTTTCTTTAAGAAGCCCTCCTGTTCTCCACTCATTACCTGTATTAACTGCACCTGTTTGAACTCGTTACCTGTATTAAAGACACCTGTCCACACACTCAATCAAACAGACTCCAACCTCTCCACAATGGCCAAGACCAGAGAGCTGTGTAAGGACATCAGGGATAAAATTGTAGACCTGCACAAGGCTGGGATGGGCTACAGGACAATAGGCAAGCAGATTGGTGAGAAGGCAACAACTATTGGCGCAATTATTAGAAAATGGAAGAAGTTCAAGATGACGGTCAATCACCCTCGGTCTGGGAATCCATGCAAGATCTCACCTCGTGGGGCATCAATGATCATGAGGAAGGTGAGGGATCAGCCCAGAACTACACGGCAGGACCTGGTCAATGACCTGAAGAGAGCTGGGACCACAGTCTAAAAGAAAACCATTAGTAACACACTACGCCGTCATGGATTAAAATCCTGCAGCGCACGCAAGGTCCCCCTGCTCAAGCCAGCGCATGTCCAGGCCCGTCTGAAGTTTGCCAATGACCATCTGGATGATCCGGAGGAGGAATGGGAGAAGGTCATGTGGTCTGATGAGACAAAAATATAGCTTTTTGGTCTAAACACTCACCGTGTTTGGAGGAAGAAGAAGGATGAGTACAACCCCAAGAACACCATCCCAACCGTGAAGCATTGAGGTGGAAACATCATTCTTTGGGGATGCTTTTCTGCAAAGGGGACAGGACGACTGCACCGTATTGAGGGGAGGATAGATGGGGCCATGTATCGCGAGATCTTGGCCAACAACCTCCTTCCCTCAGTAAGAGCATTGAAGATGGGTCGTGGCTGGGTCTTCCAGCATGACAACGACCCGAAACACACAGCCAGGGCAACTAAGAAGTGGCTCCGTAAGAAGCATCTCAAGGTCCTGGAGTGGCCTAGCCAGTCTCCAGACCTGAACCCAATAGAAAATCTTTGGAGGGAGCTGAAGGTCTGTATTGCCCAGAGACAGCCCCGAAACCTGAAGGATCTGGAGAGTATGTATGGAGGTAGTGGGGCCCAATCCCTGCTGCAGTGGTGCCAAACCTGGTCAAGACCTACAGCAAACCGTTATGATCCTGTAATTGCAAACAAGGGTTTTCTGTACCAAATTTAAGTTCTGCTTTTGATGTAATCAAATACTTATGTCCATGCAATAAAATGCAAATTAATTACTTAAAAATCATACAATGTGATTTTCTGGATTTTTGTTTTAGATTCACGTCTCTCACATTTGAAGTGTACCTATGATAAAAATTACGACCTCTACATGCTTTGTAAGTAGGAAAACCTGCAAAATCGTCAGTGTATCAAATACTTGTTCTCCCCACTGTATATATATATTTATAAACTGGGTGGTTCGAGCCCTGAATTCTGATTGGCTGAAAGCTGTGGTATATACCACCGTATACCACGGGTATGACAAAACATTTATTTTTACTGCTCTAATTACGTTGGTAACCAGTTTATAATAGCAATAAGGCACCTCGGGGGATTGTGATATATGGCCAATATACCACGGCTAAGGGCTGTGTCCTAGCACTCTGCGTTGCGTCGTGCTTAAGATTAGCCCTTAGCCGTGGTATACTGGCCATATACCACACCCCTCTAGCCTTATTGCTTAAATATATAACTTTATGAGCTGGGTTGACTGTCTTTGCAATTCAGTTATTTTTGTTTGCGCTCGTTAGCATATTTAGCTAGCAGCCTCCATGGAAATTCATTATTACTTATGCTAATTTTGTTAACATTCTGGTAATAGATGCCCAATGGCCTTTTTTTAGTTTTTTGCCGCCCCCTTGTGTACTAAGCCGGTAATACCGTAAAGCCCGGGATGAGAGAAGGATGGTATGACGATATGAAAATCTGGATACCGCCCAACCCTATTAGCATCAGGTATTACCTCAGCCACAATGTCTCCGTTCTCAGCATGGACCTGAGCGATGGCCCCCAGATCCCGGATCACACTGAACACCTCATAGACCTACAGGAAATAACCATGTCAGCAGCGTCAGACAACCACAGATGGGTCATAGAACAGACACACATACAAGGTAAACTTGTAAAGTTAATTGAGCATCCTCTGATAGCTGAGCAAATTGAACGATAATGCCAATTTCACATAGGAATGCAAAACTCACACTGAAGGTCTCAAATACAACAGTGGTAGAGGAGAACCAGTTACTGATGTATGAGTGATGTATGAGTCTTGTAAGAGTCATCATTCCCCAGCAGCCAGAAATGCAATAAAGAGCTATCATAGGTTGCCGTGGGAGACCTGCACAAAATAGAGTGAAATGCTCTGGCCGAGCAGCCTCAATGCATTCCTCACACAGGTGCAAAGAGCAACGCGGGCTGTTTTCAAAGGAGCCTCCAGTCCACGATTAATCTGTTTTACCATGAGTCAGACACAAAGACTTGGACTGGTGCATTCATTCATCATCCCTTACTCCCTCTGGAGACACACACACAGACAATGACTGCCTCAACCTCCCCCACCCTCCCTCAACTCAGCCCTCAGCCCAGAGCAGAGCAGGCTATGCTGGGAGGGGAGGAAGAGTCAGACCTGGAGAGCTACAGTATATGATGTCATACAGTGCAATGTATTGAGTATTCAGTATGATTCTGCCCCATAACTTTAACAGTACAGTTAATGTGGTGCGAAAAGAGGTGAATTCCTTTCATACTTTTTTTTAAAGATTATTTTAACCATTCATGTTCTTTGTGGCGGTAGCGATCGCTGTGTGTTTCCTGTAAGACAAACAGAGAGCCAATGTAAAAAAAACTACTCTATGATAAAGTATGTCATACCTGAGAGTCAGTAAGCTGGAAAACATCCTTATAAGCCAGATAGACAAGGAAAGAGTTGACACCTGAGGAAAGAGAGCACGTGTCAAAAGAAGGCACATAGAGTTAGAGTGGGACGAGAAACAAAGAGAGGCGAAGAGACCAATAACATCTGAACATACATGTAGGAAATCTAACAACCATACATAAATAGAAAACATGAACACAACCAATCAAAATGTACTATATAACATAATGAGATGTTAATGTGGGTGTGTCTGTACCGTGGTCCTTGACAAGGGCCTCCATTTCCTCCTGGACTCCCTTGTGCCACTCAGTGATGTCTACATGTAAGGAGTAGTCACAGCAGGACTTGCTGTCCGCCCACTCACGCCACTGCTCAAAGGCAGACAGCAAACTGACCCCGGGTTCCGGAACCACGTGGTCAACTAGTGGACACACACACACACATACATACAATTGTTTAGTAAATTGGTTCATTCTTATTGTTATGGTTGCTTTCAACTATGATATGCAGTAGCTCAGATTAAAAGCCTAGATCAGGGTCTTGCATCATGTTTCTTCCACTAGCCTGTACTGCACTGTGACCCAGCTGTAAGCCTCTGTTTCGTGATGTGACCCATTTACAGAGATGGTTCTGTGGACTCTGCAGTGCTGTCAGCAGGAGTCAGCATTCTGCATGATGTGATAAAGCCACCTTACTCTTCAGGAGTCTGTAACTGCTGAGGAGGGAGATGGACCTTTACTGAGGCAGCTAGGATATACAGTAGAACTCTAGGAATGCTATAGGCAGGCCACGCTTATTACAGAGCCATTCGGAGGAGAGTGGATAAACAACTTGAAAAACATTTTTAATGTCCTCCCTAGTCCACTTTTCACCGCACTCAGCAGAACTTGGTGGCACGCTAGCATAACAGTCTGTAGCAGATGGGCACTTTATGGGCTCAGGAACTGGTGATGCCATAGATGGAGCTGGCACTGTGCCCTGCCCATGTCTCTTGAGAGGGGGAGGACAGACAGTGGGTAGGTGGCAGTGTACATACTGATCATGGTGGTGCCCCCTGCCAGGGCGGCGCGGGTGCCCTGGTAGAAGTCGTCCACCGAGGTCATGCCCCGGTCGGGCATCTGGAAGCGTGTGTGCACATCAATGCCCCCTGGCATCAACATGCGCCCGTGGGCATCGATGGTCTTCACCCCACCGGGCACTATCAAGTTCTCGCCAATTTGTCTGGAAGTTAGAGGAAGAGGGAGAGAGATAAAGTGAGAGAGAAGGGACAGAAAGAAAAAGAGAGCGAGAGAGAAAGAAAGAGAACGAGTTGTTATAGAGTTATCATTACGACTGCAATTGAGTCTGTAAAACTGAACAACGACCAGTGTTAAAGGTCTAACACATGGTAAGGATAAGGATAATTCAGAGGTAGTTAACCTCTCAGAAGTAGAGCCTGTAGGCGTCGTTGTGAAACTCACTTGATATGACCATCCTCCATGTAGATATCAGCACAGAAGGACTGGTCATCGTTCACGATTTTCGCCCCTTTGATCAGGAGACGATCGCTCTAGAAGATAATAAAAAAAAAAATCATTATTAGATGAAGAATTCACTGTGCATCATTGTAATGTTTGTTTATGTGTCAATTAATCCCATAAGGGATGGGTTGGCAACTGTCATTCATTCATTCATTAGTTAGTATAGACATGTCCATTTCTCTTCATTCTCACAGAGTTAACACAGTGAAGTACGTGTTCCTTTAGGAAAAGCCTTTAATGCGTGTGGTAAAGCAGACACCAGAACGGGCTTTTATATGAGTATTGTATTTGGTACCACCGCAGTACCAGACACTTTCTTTTCAGGAAGCATCAGCTAACACTGTGCTATTAATAGATTAAATACAGACCCATAAAATACTAAAGACAAGCCAAAAGACTTAACCCCCCTACATGTCCCTGCCATTCTAATCACCCCCACCATGGCAGGATGCTCTGACTGCTTTTCTGCTGTATTGGGCAGTGTCACATCATGTGTCACTGTCACAGCATTAACTGATGTTCTGCCTTGTTGTGCTCGGTTGCGTCATGGGAAAATTAGGCTTTGTCCAAGTGAGTTCTGTGATGATAAGGAACAACATGTCCTCCCACAATGTTTATGGTTGCACCAACTGGTTGTGTTGAGCTGGCACAATTGATGATCTATTTATTATGGCTTGTGTTGTGGCTCTCTCTGCAATCTGACTCAAAGTGAGAAGAGAGTGAGAGAGATACAGAGAGAGAGAGAGGAGTAGAGAGAGAGAGAGAGAGAGAGAGCGCAAGAGGAGGAAGGAGAGAGAGAGGAGAGAAGAGAGCGAGAGAGAGAGAGAGAGATGAGATAGAGAGACTCCGAGATGCGAGAAGAGCGATTGCGCGAGAGATATCGAGAGCGAGATATTCTCAGAGAGTGAGGAGCGAGAGATAGCGAGCGAGCGTCGCGTCCGAGATCATCGCGCTCTCTCTCGATCGCTAGCACTATCGTCTCTACGTCTCTCTTCCTCTATCTCTCTCCTCTCTCCTCTCTCTCTCTCTCTCACACACACACACACATACACACACACAACACACACACACACCACACCACAGAGGAAGAAGCAGTTCAATGCAGGGATAGTTAGGATCAGCACCAGGTCTTGGGTGAAGCTTATTCAACCATTACAGTATGTGTGTAAGACAGAGAACGGGACAGAAAGTCTCTGGGATTGTAAGAATAAAGGAGAGAGATAGAGAAGCAGAGCGATAGGAGAGAGTGAACGGGAGTTAAATAGGAACAAAAGACACAGATATGCAGCAGTGGGGGGGGGGGGGGGGTGGATCTGAGCTGAGCAGCAGCCTGGAATGAAAGCAGGACAACTGCTTTTACAGAGTCTTAAAGAGAGACTCCGTGATCAATGCTTCATGCACATCCTAATACAGCAAGGGATAAAGGGAATGCAGAACTACAGTGTGCTTATTACAGACAGCTGAATACTTTATTTATTTAACCTTTATTTAACTAGGCAAGTCAGTTAAGAACAAATTCTTATTTACAATGACGGCCTACCCCGGCCAAACCTGGGCCAATTGTGCGCCGCCCTACGGGACTCCCAATCACGGCCCGATTGTGATACAGCCTGGAATCGAACCAGGGTCTGTAGTGACGCCTCTAGCACTGAGATGCAGTGCCTTAGACCGCTGCGCCACTCGGGAGCATGTCGTGACCAGGAGCAAAATCCTGAATATGCATATTCTAATGGATAATTGACTAGGTAGGCTGATACCAGCATGGCTCTAAATGAGGGTGAGGAATGCACTAATGAAACAATGACAAGCAGCAGAGCCCGCCTCAGGACACGTCCCTCCGGCATCCTCACTCTGACTGGCTGACAGAATAATGGACATAATAAAGGAGTAATCAGGATGCAGACCTGGGAAACAATCATCCACACCTCTGTCACCAGGACACTCTCAGAATGAGAGAGGGGGAAGCCCCGACCTCCTGGCACCTTCCTGTGTCGCCCCAGTGGCGACGGCCTACCCTCCAAAAGGGGAGAGGCACAATTCTGGTCACGAGGCATTTAGCCTCCTCCACAAACAAAGGTTGCTCTGTTTGAGTTTCAGCCTCTAGCGTGTTTCCATGCTAGAAGCCCTGGCCCCAAGCAGAACTGCTTTCCAGAGGGGTTCACAATGCCCCGCCAGAAATGCATTTGGACTAAAGAATAGAAAACCCATCTCTGTGACATTGACAATCTTTGGTATATTTTTTCCCAACAAAAGTGGTTACTTGTTCCCTGCCAACTGACAAACATTCTATAAAACAAAGACACACGCAGAAACGCACGCACACACACACATTTCTCGCCTCTCTTTCAAACAAACCCCCAAGGAATGTCTTGTTAGTGATGACTATGTCAGGTCATATTTAATGAAACGTGTGACAGGAGTGATGAACCCAGTCCATTCTCACATCTACATGATTCCATCCTGTTTTGGCAACTATTCACTGAACAACTGAGTCGAAAAACGGAATTACATCATGTGGTTGACTATCACTATATCATTATTTGTCGTGCCATTACGCATATACAGTGCATTCGGAAAGCATTCAGACACCTTCCCTTTTTCCACATTTTGTTACGTTACAGCCTTATTCTAAAAAGGATTAAATAAAATAAATTCCTCATCAATCTATACAATACCCCATAATGACAAAGAAAAAATATATATATATTTTTGAAAATGTATATAAAAAAAAAAAAAATGAAATACCTAATTACATACACTACCGTTCAAATGTTTGGGGTCACTTAGAAATGTCCTTGTTTTCGAAAGAAAAGCAATTTTTTTGTCCATTAAAATAACATAAAATTGATCAGAAATACAGTGTAGACATTGTTAATGTTGTAAATGGCTATTGTAGCTGGAAACGGCTGATTTTTTTATGGAATATCTACATAGGCGTACAGATGCCATTATCAGCAACCATCAGTCCTGTGTTCCAATGGCACGTTGTGTTTGCTAATCCAAGTTAATCATTTTAAAAGGCTAATTGATCATTAGAAAACCCTTTTGCAATTATGTTAGCACAGCTGAAAACTGTTGTGCTGATTAAAGAAGCAATAAAACTAGCCTTCTTGAGACTAGTTGAGTATCTGGAGCATCAGCAATTGTGGGTTCGATTACAGGCTCAAAATGGCCAGAAACAAATAACTTTCTTCTGAAACTCGTCAGTCTATTCTTGTTCTGAGAAATGAAGGCTATTCCATGCGAGAAATTGCCAAGAAACTGAAGATCTCGTACAACGCTGTGTACTACTCCCTTCACAGAACAGGGAAAACTGGCTCTATCCAAAATGTACCAAAAACATTCTGCAGCATTGAAGTTCCCCAAGAACACAGTGGCCTCCATCATTCTTAAATGTAAGAAGTTTGGAACCACCAAGACTCTTCCTAAAGCTGGCTGCCCGGCCATACTGAGCAATCGGGGGAGAAGGGCCTTGGCCAGGGAGGTGACCAAGAACCCGATGGTCACTCTGACAGCGCTCAAGAGTTCCTCTGTGGGAATGGGACAACCTTCCAAAAGGACAACCATCTCTGCAGCACTCCACCCATCAGGCTTTTATGGTAGAGTGGCCAGACGGAAGCCACTCCTCAGTAAAAGGCAGCCCGCTTGGAGTTCGCCAAAAGGCACCTAAAGGACTCTGAAACCAAGATTGAACTCTTTGGCCTGAATGCCAAGCGTCACATCTGGAGGAAACCTGGCACCATCCCGGTGAAGCATGGTGGTGGCAGCATCATGCTGTGGGGATGTTTTTCAGCGGCAGGGACAGGGAGACTAGTCAGGATCGATGAAAAGATGAACAGAGCAAAGTACAGAGAGATCCTTGATGAAAACTTGCTCCAGAGTGCTCAGGACCACAGACTGGGGCGAAGGTTCACCTTCCAACAGGACAACGACCCTAAGCACAGAGCCAAGACAATGCAGGAGTGGCTTCGGGGTGTGAGTTCCTCTGTAGCTCAATTGGTAGAGCATGCCGCTTGTAACGCCAGGGTAGTGGGTTCGATCCCCGGGACCACCCATATGTAAAAATGTATGCACACGACTAAGTTGCTTTGGATAAAAGCGTCTGCTAAATGGCATATTATTTATATTATTTAAGTCTCTGAATGTCCTTGAGTGGCCCAACCAGAGCCTGGATTTGAACCCGATCGAACATCTCTAGAAAGACCTGAAAATAGCTGTGCAGCAACGCTCCCCATCCAACCTGACAGAGCTTGAGAGGATCTGCAGAGAAGAATGGGAGAAACTCCCCAAATACAGGTGTGCCAAGCTTGTAGCATCATACCCAAGAAGACTCGAGGCTGTAATCGCTGTCAAAGGTGCTTCAACAAAGTACTGAGTAAAGGGTCTGAATACTTATGTAAATGTCATATTTCCTTATTATAATTATTTTTTGCAAAAATCTGTAAAAATCTGTTTTTGCTTTGTCATTATGGGGTATTGTGTGTAGATTGATGAGGGACGATTAAAAAAAAAAATCAATTTTAGAATAAGGCTGTAACGTAACAAAATGTGGAAAAAGTCAAGGGGTATGAATACTCGTACTTTCCAAAAAACTGCAA